ATCACGGTGCGCCTCAATGGACAGTTCCCCAATGACATCGGCTCCTTCGTGTTCTTCTTCCTCAACTTTGTCAAGCTGGAACCGGGTGAGGCTATGTTCCTCAAGGCTGATGATATCCATGCATACATCTCCGGTGACATCATTGAGTGCATGGCCTCGTCGGATAACGTTGTGCGGGCAGGCTTCACACCTAAGTTCAAGGACGTGGATACGCTGGTTGACATGCTGACGTATTCCTACGCACCCATCGCTGAGCAGAAGCTTGAGCCGACCGACTATCCCTATGCGGTCCTCAATGCGCCTGCTTACTCTAGCGGCTCCTCCTGCATCCTGTACGATCCCCCCATTGAGGAATTCAGCGTGATCAAGACAGATCTCAAGCGGCAAGGTGCCAAGGCGACGTTTGATGGAATTTCGGGCCCGAGCATTGTAATCTGCACCGCCGGAGCGGGCAAGATAACAGTCGGTCCCAAGACGCAGGAGGTCAAGGAGGGATATGTGTTCTTTGTTGGAGCCAATGCAGAATGTATCATTGAGAGCACGGGAGAAGATACCTTTACTACATTTAAAGCGTTCTGTGACTTGACCGGGAAGGAGGACATGGTAAACGGAAACTAGACGTCGGTTGCCAACTAAATTATTTTTTCATTTATTCAATTCAATGAACCTTGCCATCCTTCCATCTCAGCGACTCATATTAAGTTTGACTTTAGGCCTTTTTAGTTGGGACTCCCAAACGGGAGGATCTCTACTTTGACAACATTTGCTGCCGACGGAATAGCCGAGGTTTAGGCATCCACCAACACCATGACCATGTCGCGCCAGAGCCCAGACACGCCAGGATGAGTCTCTGAACCTTGAACTGATAGACCACCACAAATTATCTACGGCCGACCACCCGAACCGGCGGGGGATGCGCTATGGGGTGCGGGGAAGAGCGCTTATCAAGCTTTGGGATAGCCCAACTCCCCGGCATTTGGAATCAACCGTCAAGCAGCATATATGTTTTCTTTTGTGCCGTCTCAGGTTGTCTGTGAGATAGTCACCGGCCATTCAAGATGGCAGACCACCCGGATAATGTTCGTCTCACACTGCTGGAGAAAGCTGACCTCATTCCCGGCTACCTCTCTGTCCTAGCGACTGCGCTGTACAGCGCGGTCACTGGCATTTTTCGCGGGAGCACCGGTGCAAAGGAATATGGTGTCCATGTCGGCCATGCGATTGTGAGGAAGATGGTGATGAGGTTCTCGATGCGGCAAATGCAGTACGTGGATCAACATCCGCCATTCGATCTGTGAATACCATCGCTGACGTCCACTAACAGGTCAATTTCCCCCTCAACGAGCAAAGCGTATGAGCAGTTCATGACCAAACAGGGTCTGCAGGCACAGACCGTGAACCTCAAGCACGGCGCCCGGGGCCACTGGATCGGGAACCGCGACGCAAAGAACGTGGTCATCTATTATCACGGTCAGTCCCCACAGCTTTTTGCGACGCCAGCGTTAAGGGTACAACATGGCTGACGGCAATCAGGCGGCGGATTCGCCGTCGGCGGCGCACCCGGCCACTTCGACCTCTGCTCGCACATCGTAGCCGACCTCAACGCAAACGGCTACGACGTCGCCATCTTCTTCCTGGCATACACCCTCACTCCGCACGCCGCCTACCCGACCCAACTGCGCCAGGCCGTCGAAGCCCTCCGCTACATCCTCACTGAGACAAACCGCTCGCCATCCAACGTCATCGTCGGCGGCGACTCCGCGGGAGGGAACCTCGCCTTCGCACTGCTGCTGCACCTCTCCCACCCACATCCCGAGATCGAGCCCATCGCGCTCTCGACCAACCTCGCCGGTGTGTTCGGGTTCGCGCCGTGGGTCAGCTTCCGCACAGACGGGACTTCGATGGACGCGAACAGGTACAGGGATGTGATCCCCGCAGACGCGCTGAAGAGATGGTCGAGTGCGTATCTCGCCAGTGGGAAAAGCGATGCCTGGAGCGAGCCGGCGCTCGCGCCTGTGGAGTGGTGGGCGGATGCAAAGACTGACCAGGTCCTGATTCTTGCGGGTCAGCATGAGATCTTGTCCTCGGCGATTGATGACTTTGTGGAGAGGTTCAAGGTATTTATTCTTCGTCGTACTTTGGGAAATCATTGCGTCTCGTTTGCTGATGTGTGGCTAGACTGTTGTGCCGAATACCACCTACGTGGTTGGGTATGGTGAGACGCACGTCGATGCGGTCTATAGTGCCTCGCTGAAGAGTACAGAGAGTCAGCAGGGGAAGCAGTTGAAGAGGTGGCTCGGGTCGCGGCTGTAAGGGTTTGTGTGAATGCGGATGTGGTCTAAATCTGCAACGGTGCTACCAGCCGCCGCTTATATATTAAGGTACACTGTACGAGAGGTATGCACATTATGATATCATGTTCAGATATGTTTATATATGATATATCCTGTGAGCCATTAAAGTTCCTAGTCACACATGAGCAACGTCAACAGGAAAAACTTGTCTATCCGATTTTTAATGGAGAAATCATTGAACAACAGGGAAAGGGCACCGCTGGGTAACACAATAGCTTAGCCGTCATACCAATTCATTAAAGAAGACCCAATACACAATGTAATAGGAAAGAAAGAAACAGAGATGACCTAGAGTACTCCGTAAATCTAAGAAGCCACTCTGGGAGCGTACTTGGACGCAGCAGTATCAAACAGCTCGCTCTTCTCCTGGATATCGGCAAGTAAGGCATGCGAAGGCTGAACTTGTTGAAGACGACTGCAACGACAACAATCCGTTAGCTGACCTCAGTCTTATTATATTTGAGAGCAAAACATACCTCTCCAATTCCTCGGTAGGCTTCCCAGCCAATACATTCAGCACAATGGCATTAGAAATCAACTCCGCCTCCTCAGGGTATTTCTCCAGCGCAGTCGACAGCGCAGCTTCGGCCTCGGGCAACCGGCCCAGATGAATCTCCGCGACAGCCTGTCCGACAATAGACAAAGGCGCCGACGTACCGGGTGCAGACGCAAGTTCTTCGTAGACGTAAAAGGCAGACTGATATTTCTCACCACCCTGAATACCAGATAAGTATTAGCCACGTTGACCATCCTCGAGAAATAAAAATCAAGAGGATTATAACATACGATTCTCATCCCCACCCACGACTCAGCCAGATTAACAAGCAGAGAATCCTGCGCCCAGCGCTTAGCAGCCTGCACCTCCTTAAGCGCAAGATCGACCCGGTTCTGCTGGAGATGGATCTGAACGATTAAGGCAACACTACCCTCACACACACGCCATTAGCTTACTGCCCTGTTGCACCACGACCCCCAAGGAAAAGGCTAAATGAAGGATAGATAGAAACTCACGCCTCCAAATTCCCCTGATGCTTCGTCAAAACCGCCAACGCCTCCTCGCTCCGGCCCTGAGCCTGCAGCACCGTCCCTCCCAGGACCTGCACCGAGGCATTCTCCGGATAATTCTCCACCAGTTCCTGCGTCAGCTGGAGCGCAGACTCGGCATCGCCCGCCGCGAGTTGCGCCAGCGCCTTCACCGCAGCGAGATCGGGGTTCTCTTCTTCGCCCTCGACGGCGGATAGGACCTCGGCGGTTTGGCCTAGGGCAAGCTGGGCGCGGAGCTGCAGGATGCGGGCGGTGAGATGGTTGTCTGGTGAGAGGGCCGAGGTGTCGAAGTCGATCACGTTCTGGTATTGGCCTTGATGGAAGGCATTGTGGATGTTGATGAGCTCTGCGGAGATTAGGAGTCAATTGAGTTGCTTTTCGCAGGCTGCGAAATGATGTTGGGGGAGTCAAGCGGTCAGCACTCACCACCTTCTGTCGAGAATGGATCCATATTGAGAAATGTGAAGAGATCAACGGATTGAAATAGGATTAATATTGTAGAGGTAGACAAGTATACGCTGGCCTCAAAACACGGTCCATGTCTTGGGATCGTAAGGCGGTGAGAGCAGGTCAGCCGATGGATTAATGGCAAGTTATCCGATCGCGCAATGAGATGCAACTCTCCATATTCTATCTCAAATGGGTAGATACGGGTGGATATGATGGAAATAGTAGAGATGTACTTGTTAGAGGAGAGGAATTCTTTTATTAATTTCCTTATATCTAACAAATTCGAGAAATTGCAATGGCTGCCCATAGCTTTGGAAAAAGGAGCGTCCCAGCCGCATCTTCATAGTAAGACAAGTGGAAGAACAAAAAAGACAGAGACGCCTCGCCATCAGGGTGTCGTCAGGAGCCCTTGGGAGATGTGTATGGCGGACTGCAGGATTATTTCTCGCCTGCGAGCGTGGGAATGACACGGAGGGACCTTCGCAAACAATGCCTCCAAACGTATCCTCCGACAATTTAGGACAAGCAATAGTCATTTCGCTGGTAACTCCTCAAATGCTACCGTTTCATCAGATGCAACTGGAACCACAAGTAATGCCATCTTGAAAGCGAAAGCCTTGGAAACGCTCGAAGGAGGTTTTGAGGCATGAGGGAATCAGTAGAACAATCCACAGCAATGCACACAACTTGGTAAAAAAACAAAAGAAAGCAATGGGTATCGCCAGACGGGTATAACAGTGTCAGTATAATCCAGTAGCACAAATAAACAGAACAAATATAGCGACATCAAACAACAGAAGTCTTGAATGCGCGGTTAGAATCCCCGAAAAAGTAAGGGACCGTCCCAGACGTAATACATGAGTAACAAAGCAAGCAGGTATATGATCATGGTTCCTCAAGCCATCCGGTGGTGATGAACAATCGCTATGCGCCATGTTTCCCTGAAGCACCTGGAAAATCAAGAAGAGCAACGCAAAGAAACAGATGCAACCTCAATCAGAAAACGCCGCTCCAATATTTGCACAGGAGTATTGGTCTTCCAGATGCGAGGTGGTGATGATGATTATTTCGAGGGGACGGGCTAGAGGACAGAAGATAAGGAATAAATGTAAAAGCACGACCTGCAGGTATGGCAGGGTTGGTAGGACTCTGTCAAAGAAACAGAGATGATGTGGACGTCGTTGAAACAGTAGGCGTCAACGCCGGAGACGTATCCTTGTCGTCTGGACTTGCAGGCGTCTCGCTACCCTTTTCAGATCTGTCTGTCGATGAACCACGCTTGAACACTGTTTGACCAATCTGACGAAGGATCCCCAGACGCTCGGCTCGAAGTTCCTCGGCGCCTAGTCGTTGAACCGGCACCGGCTCCTCCTTGGTAATTTTGCAGAATAGGGTGGAGAACAGATATTGATCACCGCCCAGATCGTACAGTGGCAGATAACGGTAACCCTGAGACAGACTGCTCAGTTTGGCAGTGAAAGTGGCCAATTGAACACTGTTGTTGTTCCCAGCACTGCGCCCATCCAGTGAGCTCCAAACAGTCCAGCGAACGAACACCAGGTCTGGATACTTGGTCTCGAGCGATAGCTTGAAACGATCATTGAAAGTTGGGCTGTATCCGTTGCTCTGCTCGATCTTTGTGCGCCGACGATGCGGATAGCCAATGCCCGACACGCCGTTCCGCGCGGAAGCATTCATGCCTCCTTCTCCGACGACAAAACTCTGGCCGCGATCGTCTGCGCTGAACATCTCAATTTCCACATATGGGTTGATATTGTCGTCAGGTCCCATGGTACGTGGTCGAGGAAGTTGTTGAGCGGAAATGACCTCCACTGAGAACCGAACCAGCTTCCGTTCGGTGGACGCCGTGCTCGCTTGCTCATAAGGTGGGAGACGAAGTGCTTCGGGCTTGAGGACGTAGCCAGTGCGATCAGTTCCAGCCGCAAACATGGCTTGGTTCAGCTGCATTCCGATGTCGTACGTTTGCCAATTCAAGGCTGCCATTTGCACGCCGCGTCGCCAGAACTTGAGCGGATCGAAATTGGACGAACGCAAACGAAACCCGGACGGATAGACTCGCGTGAGGTATTTTTGATTATGTCTTTCCAACAGCGCCTTATTCTCCGCGTCACGGCAGATGCTCTCGAAAGCCCGCTCCGCGAAGGAGTAAACATGGTTGAACCGCTGACTCTCGGGAGACGAGAAACTATGCCATTTGTAGCCACGGGTGTAAACTCCAAGGTCTGATAGAGGCTTCGTGATCTTGCTCTTCTGACGTCGCCTTTCTCTCTTGACTGACACCAACGCGCCATCGCTGTCTTCTGTCGCGCTGCTCATACTTGTGGTGGTGAAAGACCGTCTATCCTGTGAAACGAACGGCCCTACACTCTCCTGGCCAATGGTCGCAGGACTGGAGAGAGGAGGAAGGTTCATGAACAAAGGATTCTCAGGGACGCTAGGACGCATCCATGGGGAACTTGAGCTGCGCTTCCGACCAGTGCTCGCAAAAGTCGTCGAGGTATCTTGCCGCACTCCCTCGAGGGTCTCGTCACATGTTTTGACTTTGACGAGAATCCGGCCCTTCAGTTCTTCTGGTGATGGGAGGACAAAGCTATTTGTCAAGAGCGGCTCCAGGACGAGTCGTTCCTTAAAAGTGTCTTTCATGATCTTGACCATCGCCAGCTGCTGTTCGGGATTGCAATGAACCTCGAGTGAGAGGATCAGGGGGAAGTCGCAGGTGATGAATGCGTATCGGTTGATGACGGTAATGCAATCGGCGAAGAGAACACTGGTTGTCATCGTCCGTCCATGCGAAACGATCGGGCGGCCATCGGCACCATCCCAGCAGTCAATCTCGACGCATCGGCAACCCTGTGACAGAGCGCTGATATACGCCTCTGTGCTGGAAGCGCCGGCAACTTGACGGCCCAACAGGTACGTGTTATGGGAGCTGGAAATGAAATACTCATTGAGGGGTCGGTCAAATCGCGATTGAGGAGGGCGAGATGCGTATATTCCGTTCCAGTTGGATGAGAGAAAGGCAGAGAAGGCTTCCAGGCTCATTCGAAAAGCCTGACGTTCCACACCTTCTGGGAGACTTGGTGCTCGCGGCTTGGACTTTCGAACATATTTGTCAAAAACTGAAACCCAATAGGCTCGATCGGTATCAACATCTTCTTGCTGCGCGTCGCGGAGAAAAGCCAGAAATTCGTCGACGGTGAGACCTCCCTGGGCATTCGCGGCCCACGTTTTAAACAGGTCCTTGATATCTTTCCTTTCTTTTAGACGAGCGACAAAGTTCTGAAACTCTGAAAAGTTAAGTCGACCCTTGCTGCCAAGATCAGCCTTGGAGAACTGAGCTCGAAGCATGTTCTTTGAACAATTGATATGCAAGCTTCGACAAACTGTTTCAACGGCACCGAAGTCAAGGCTCTCTTCTTCGCCGGGTGCCAAGCCCTGAGGGAACAGCCTTGACATTTCACGTTGCCAGTGCGCTTTTAAGACAGTCTCACTCTGACCGGACCCAGCCAAGCCAGCCATGAGATTGATTCGATACTGAGAGATATTCTCCAGAGTCGTTGTCCAAAGTTCAAGGATATGGTCATTGGGAGCAATGAGGTGCAACGTCTTGACGGACCGACCCTTGGACTTTTCAGGATCAGCAATGACGATGGTGAACCAGCGGCCTTCAACATCCTGAGGAACTTGGTGTTCCTCGCGATAGTTGCGCGCATCCGCTCCGACGCGGACCTCCTTGATATCGTCAATATAAAAGCGTTTCGCCGGGTTTGACAGATCCCAGTAAACCTTGCCTGCATCAAGGTTGAGGAAGAAGCGCACCTGCTTCTTGCGCTTCTTAGTCACTTTCGTCAACACCGTCCCGCGCTGAATCGCCGAATCAACTTTGGGCGCAACAGCGCCCGCGTTGCGCGAGGCCATCATGTTGGCATCATTCGGGAGACTGGACGCTTCCGAGCCACACCAGGCACCCAGAGAATCCACCGCGTCGTTGCTATCTTCTTCGTTGCTAGAATCAAGAGCACACTCACGTCCGGTCTGAGCTGCGGTTTTACTGTCGCTGCGTCGCCGCATGATGACCGGACCGGAGCTGCGATCTCGTTTATCACTGTGAGTCGCAGATTGTCTTCTTCGCGTGAGCTTGCTGGCTGCGCCTCTCGATATTCTCCGCATCAGGCCAGCGCCTTTATTCGGATTGGGGCCCGCAGAGTCCACATTTGAGGTCGCCGGATTACCTGGGACAGCCATCATTGACTCTCCAAGTTCGAAAGAGGAAAGCGAAACGGGAGGAAAAGAAGATAAACGCCCCCGAAGGGCGTCGGCAGCGATCTGTAATGGTGTGCCTGAAGGGCTAGAAGCATTCGAATGGTTGGAAGTGGGGAAAAGAGATGAGGGAGTAGTTGTGAGCGAAGACATATAAGAGGTTGTCGAGGAGGTCTGAGTTGCGGGCGAAAAAGACGTGATGACATGGTGTAATTTTGGAGGGTTGGGGAGAGAATTGTTGATATTTAAACTGGGTTGAGCGTCGCCATTCAGAGCCGCAGGCAACGAAGTAGTAGTATAAGCCATTGCGGCTACTGAATATACCGCCAAGTTGTAGAACGTGAGATAGAGAAGGGTTGTATTGAATTGTGTCTGTGCCTGAGTCACCTGGACTCTGGGGAGGACGAATGGAGTTCAAGGCGGTTACCAAAGGGATGCAGTTGCTTCGGCGAGCAGCCTATAGCTAGGATGCAATACGAGCCCTAAAAGGGAACGTGTCTGAGTGAGAAATGCACAAGCCACGTCCTTAGCGGGATTGCTCCGATTTTGATATCTGCATCTTGGCCGGCCTTTGATGCAAAGCGGAGAGCCCTGCCTGAGAGCGCTCGCGAGAGAGGAAAACAGACAAGCAAAGGGGGCAGAGAGGTCGACTCAGGTTCTTGATAGCAATTGAGACAGGCACTGGCTCTGTTGTGTAACGATAAGGCTGCGGCCGAAATCTGACAGGCGCACAGTAACGAATCGCAGAATCGTGCAATTACGCCTTTGACTGGAGACTTGGCTGCGCGCTCGCTCGTCTCCGTATCGGCCTCGGTTGGAGGGCTGAGCTTCGTCCTTGTTCTTATTGTCTCCTGTTATTATTATATTTTAATAACTCTTTATACCTCCCCGGTCGACTAAGATATTTTTACCCCTCCTCGGAGCGCCGATCTTCCAGTACGCGGGGAAAGCTATATCCTCTGCAAGAAAAATGCGAGGGGATTGCGGAGACGGCTGTCTCACTGACTGAAGATATAGACGGCCGCCGTAGCGTAATGAGGGACAAGGCGAGCGAAATTCAAAGACAATTTCTTTTTTCGCTCTCTTCTTATTTGCTCTAAGAAAGCGAGATGCGAGTCACAACGTATGCAACTGCGCATGTGCTTGGTTGTCAGCAGAGCCCCCCTCTGCAGAACCAAGCAGCGCTCTTTTCACGACAATAATTGGAACAAGATCCAGGAAATCGAACTATGCGTCGATTGGCGTCACTCCTGACAAAAGGGCGAGGCGGCGCGGGTAACGGAATGGGGAATCGGCGACGAAAATCGGGGCCGATTGCAATGCGAACGCAGGATTGCCTGCCAACACAGGTGGATGCACGCGGTCCAAAAGGGAAGAGGGACTTGAGGATGAGCAATCGGAGATTGGACCGAGTAGAGAGGAAACGTCGCGAGAGGTAATAGTGTAGTTTTGCTCGACGTCAAAGCTATGCCGGGTTTTCCTGCACGGTTACGTGGTGCGAAGGAGATTGACCTGCAGTAACACCGTCCAGGCAAGTAGACCGACAAATCTCTATGTGAGTCAGAAACGATGATGGATCATGCGACGGAGGAAAATGTGCCAGCGTTATCCTTCGTCCAGGCAAAATCGAGTACTCGGGAGGTTATAGATGGCGGTACAAAGGATACTTGTAGGAGGAAGTGGGAGAGGTTGGAAAAGGGAGTAGAAAAAGAAGAAATCTGAAGAATTGTTCGAATTTCTTCTCTCTTTGGATACCCTTTTTTTTTTCTACCCTTTCCGAAAAGATAATAATAGGTAATACTAAATGACGGGGAGGAAGATGATAAGGTAGTTTTAGGGCCGCACGGGGCAGGGCTGTGATTGGAATTGGAAGAAGGATTTTGGAAGGCTCGAATCGAATTCGAAGAAACCGATGGATGTTTCAATTGATTGAAAGAAAGCTCAGGTGGATCCTTACACTGACGTACAGCTTGGTATTTCAGTATCGTCACAGCCGTTGATACACGTACGGACAAGTGTACCAGTTCCCCAGTTAGCCTCTCCAGGCCTCGTTCTTGTAATCGATACCCTTGATGTAACGCGTCGCGGTGGCGTATCTTCGTTTGCCTTTTCCTCACTTCCTCGTCGGAGGCCTGCGGATATTCCTTGGGATGATACGGAGTACTGAATGTTCTTTCGAATATTACAGGCCTTTCTCTTGCTGGTACGGAATATTAGAGGTTGGATTTGGTATCGAACGATGAGCACTTGTAATGATGATATAACGCAACAATAATGGTGATGTGATGGCTTTTTCGGAGGTCCCGATAGGAATGAGGAACATAGATCTGTGGTGGTAATCAAACTATGCTTGCGAAAGGGAGTACAACCCTCGATTTAAATATCAGACTGTGAGGGTCAAGAAAGGGGTGATACTTCATCAGGCATGTAGTCTCATTAGACTGGGCCGTTGTACTCCGTATCTACCTGTTCAGGTTGCTAGGTAGGTAAGGTAGGCATCCTGGCTCCGTCGGTGGGTGGATTCAAACAGCACATCGCAACAGCTCGCAACAGCAGCCCAAATTAATTAGCTCTTCCTTTTTCCCTTTTTTCTGAGCTGATCTTTCGACTTACCTCACTTCCCCACCGTTTTGGAAGAAGATTAAGGCAATCTGACCGGCTTAGTTAGAAGCGTGACCAATGAGCTAAGCATTTCCTCTCGTTACTTTACCGCCTGTCTTAGAGCCAGCCCCGTTGAGAGACAACTCTCTATGTACGTACTTAATTGGTTAATATTATAGGTTATTATTGAGCCAACAAAAGCGCATCAATATCATCCGAATTATTATTTAGTCTGTGAGAATCGTCCCATTCATCGTCTCGAAAATGACTCAAGTAGATACTGGAACCGCATTTGGTAAGGACACAATCAGCGGATCCCAATTCGACCTTCTAATTGGCCAACCATTTCTGGAGAATGTCACTGTCAATCTCGCATGAGAATGATCGATGTTTCAAAAGTCCCCTGCCAACCTTCTCATTCTTTGTTACAGGATGGGGATCGTGTATCCATAGGAGTTGAAGTCTTGTCATTCCATCTACATGCCTTGTGTGTAACAGGACTGGTAAGATAGACAGCGTACCCGTGTCCTGACACGTAACCATCCCATCATGATCATGAGATGATGAGAAGATTGTTTCAGCTGCATAGGTTCCCCCAGAATTCTCTGAGCTGTTCAGTGAGAGTCTATGCAGTCTAGTCTACACGCGACAAAATGGGATGTAGAATGTCAAACTAGACAAGCCCATATATGATTTGTTCAATACCCACATATACCTCCCTGTTGCTGTCACTATTACTGTTACAGAAAGTGCATGGCACCGACACAATGGTTGTGGAAACAAAGCTGTGGAGGTTTCAGTCTTATCTGCTCATAATCAGTATATGATCGGCGAACTTGCATCGGCCACTTTGAGGGGGGTTTTGTTTATTCCTCGCCTGCAGCACCGCTGTCGCTGACGGAGTAAGAATAAAATCTTCCAATTCTGTTAACACATCCTGGGTCACCTTTACAAGACTCACATATGCGCTGGCAAATCGATATAGAGTAGGGGGTTTAGGGGGTGGATCGCATCACCTGACAATCGGAACAGGAATTCATGAATGCCACTGTCAATCATTTTTGAACGCTAACGTTCTCTGAATGCTTCTTGACCGCATCAGCCCACTGTCTCTGCAGCAACTGTAATTCTGGAAGATTGATCTCACAAATGGCTGATAAGTATCCCCTGTAACCAGGACTGTTCTCCAATATTGTCTTGTACAAGTTTACAGGGATAAGTTACCTAGCTACCGGGAACATCACAATACGCGGCCGCGATAAGGTTTCTTAGTCCTAGGGCTGAGGCTGGATGAGGATATTAAGTGGCGGTGAAACGATGGCCAGGGGGCGGTGCGAGAAGGGAAGAAGTGACAACTGGGGAAAATGAGAATAGGGATCATCGTCCTCTGCTAAGCGGAGAATAACGAAGGTTATGAAACTCCGCTCTTCAAACACTAGTTAGCAGATCCATGGGGAATTATCCCGAGGATTTCTGCGATGATTTCCCTACGAGCCCACGACGCTCCCATTCAAAATTTGCGAGTCATCCACCGAGAAGAGCGGTCAAATTCCCCGATCCTCGGGTGGTGTATGGAGTAGACTATTCCCTATCTACACTGGCTGCGGCTACATGCCTGCCTAGTTTCTCTCAGATCGAAGACGGGGCGCTCAATCCTGCCATACCTATTGAATCACTGATCCTAATCATCGTTTATGCACGATGCTGATATTGTATCATCAGTTGACGCTCTGACAACAGACTTGATCACATTGCGAATTTACGTCTGGCCTGATTAGTGCATTTACAGGCTGAGCCTGCCCTGTTGTGAGACCAACTATCAGCATCATTCTGCAGGGCGCCTCCCAACCCCGCACATGGGCGACAGTTCCTGCTGAATCGGCGTCGCTCATTTCCTCATATCGTCCACGACAGCCTTGAGAAGTTCGTCATTTACTACCGTGTTCAGCTCGTTCTTAACCTCCAAAGGTAAAACACCCGGGGTCTATGCTTGTCTTGACTGCCCTTCGACCTCAACTGCCCTGTCCCTGACGCAGCGTATCTGCATGCGCGGTTCGAAACGATGCATACAGGCAAGATTTAGGCGAGAGATTAATCGGCCGGCGATTTGAGGAGGCTTTTCCAACATCGCACTGCGCATCGCTTAGGGTAACTTCCATCCAGGTCGAAAATGCCCTCATAAGGATTGCCGTGCATCATGGCTTCCAAGCATGGCATCATTCTGTCGCTTATGATAGAATGTCGGCGTCCACCTCCAGCGAAACTGCCGCTCGGACACAGCGACTTTCATTATCTATTTTTTGGGGATTCTTTCACCATAGGGCAGATTCTGATTAGATTGACATTGATTATCTATCCGGAATGTCTTAGAATAGTGCACCAATTAGTGTAGGTAGGTTTTCATTGTATGTAGGTGTATCATATGTACAAGCTGGGATCGTCCCTCCAATGAGAGACTAGGCAGCATGCGAATGATCAGGTGAGAGGTTGCAGCTTCCCCTCGGTTTCTAAGCTTGGCTTCGAATCACTTTGAGAGGGTGTATCAGGCACGTTGTCGTCTAATGTACCAGGCAGCATCGTTTACTTACTATTATTGTTTATCATGAACTCGTAATGCAATCGCTATTTCTTCCGGCTTATCCGTTTGCATACCGGTTTCGCGGTTATTGCGGGATGTGCCTTGACAAAGTCGATGGGTAGTTTAG